AGGGGCCGACCCGGGTGTTCCCGCATATCCCGGGGATGGGAGCGGAGGGGCTGACCCGGGTGTTCCCGCATAACCCGGGATGGACGCGGAGGGGCCGACCCGGGGGAAGCCGCCGCCTCCGTCCTGCAGGAAGCAGCCCGGGATTCCGGGAATCCCGGAGGTTTTTGCTCTCCTAAATAAGCATGTGGCTACAGACAGGGACTGGAGAAAGTGAAGCCAAAGCAACGTGTGTCTCTGCTCCTGCAAAAGGGAATTCCGCGATAATCTCTAATTTCTTGGTAAAGTTTAAGAAAGTCCCAGCTAGATGACTGAATGACGCCGTCTTCCCATGTGACTAAGCGCACAGCTCTCTTTAAAGATGCATCATCTTATCTCACAGCAAAACTTGACCCCCCATGTATTACCATACTTTCCAGAATTGTCACCAGAAATAAAAATAAAAATAAAAATAAAAATAAAAATAAAAATGGTGCTAATTTGGATATTGGAAGTGCGCATGCTCCAATGTGAAGTGTTTTATCACTATTTTTTCCTAGCGGAGGCTGTGGGAAGAGCGCTGTGTTGCTGGAACGCGTCCGTCCTCCCTGCCCCACATGATGAGGAGCCCCACATAGTTCCCGCTACCCCAGCCCATGAGCACACGCACGGGGAAGCTCGCCCTGTAAAATAAAACTCACTACTGCCATCGCACCAGACGAGCTACTGCGCAGTCTGTTTTTCCCAGACCTTTCCGCTGACCCCCTGCCGCAATCTTGACAATTTTGGCAGTCTTTCCTGAGCAAAGCTTGGAGGCTTTGTCAAAACCCAAGATTGAAATAGAAAAGAGTTTGCAGATGGGTTGCTACTGGGATCCGTTCCCTCATGTTTGTCTCATGATTTAAAAATCACATATATATATATATAAAATATACAGATATTTTATTAACCTATTGGCAGTGTCTGTCCCTGTCTATCACTGTTCCTTGTTTCTGGGTAGCCAAATGTAAATGAACTATTAGTTTATCAGTCTCCCGCCTCTTGTCTTAATAATGAATTTCCATTTTGAGACTTTTTTATCCTATTTTTGTGGGGGGTAGAATTCTCTACTGCCCCATTTGTTTTTTGTCACCATAAACGTGTTTTTGTCATGGTTAGCAATTGTCAGATCAATTCCCAAAAGCAGGAAAGATTCTTCTCAGAGAGTGGTAGGAATTGCTCTTCCTGGGTCACAAGGAATATAACAACATCCTTATAATGGTAGCACTGTGGCGTTAAACACAGCCAGTAATTGCCATTTATTTGCCATTCTCTTTTCAGTTGTGATATCCTGTTTTAACCCACTTAACACTTTGACAAGGCTACAGCTTCACCCAAAGTCTGTTTAGGTTTAATCTGACCATGACTTAGGAGAGCCATAAGCTGTTCCCTAGGTCTTCATGGGAATATCTATGCATATTGCAGTAATCCCAAAATGCTCAGAAGCTGGAGCTGTGAAACTCTAACTCGTGCATGGGTGTTATTTTACAATATTACTTAGTGCATACGGTCACTGAACAGTTTTGTTTTGGACCCCTGTTTCATGCACAGCACTGGAAGAAGGAACACTATTTAATGAGATCTTTTGCCACCGTTTCTCCACTCAGCCTGGCGTTGTGTCCTATCTATTGTGTTCTCCTCAAGTTGTGCTGTGAATACAGAATTACGGATTTCAACATTTTTTTTCTCTCTCTCTGATGGTTATTTTGACAGGAGCTGAGTGCTTCTAAAACACTAACACATTTATTTTCACAGCATAGCTAGAAAGCCAAGGCATGCTATTATCTTCAGCTAACAAGCAGAAGTTTTGAGATACAAAGAAACTAAGATAAAAGAATCCACAAAGTCTAGGTTTCTAATTTGAAACAGATCTAGGACTTGACTTTTGATAACTATTTAGCATTATGCCACATTTAATTTACCTACTTATAGCTCTTATTCACTTCATTTACAGATTTAAGCACTCGGCAGATCTATAAATCCAATTCTCATCAGTCATTTGGGAATTTAGTTACAGGCTACTGATGATAAATTCATTGTAAGTAACTTGCATGGAGTCAGTTACAAACTCAGGGGAAAAGTGGTAATTTTTCTTCCAGGAAATCTCTTGATTTACACAACAGCCTTTCCCAGGGCACAGCTGCCCAAATCAGTGACCCCCTCTTCTCT